TTTCATGAATGAGAATTGTTTAGAAGGGATAATTAAAAAACTCATGAAAATAGGAATTCTGCGTGCGCAACTTGGAATAGCGACAACATCGAGGTTCGAAATCGTAAAGGGGTATGCGCGGCAAATACTAATGGAGTTATGACTAACTTGTACCTCGAACGGCACGACGTTGTCACTTTTTCTATCCATATTAATTATTTTCCAATTACCCTCAAGACAAGCTAGAAAAATAAAAGAAGGCTTGAAATATGTGGGAAAAAATAGAAAAGTTATTAGAAAAATATTTCGAATGCAAAAATGGTCGAAATAGATTGAAAATTTGTAATTGAAATATCGTTTTTTTGTTTAACGATTGGTTTTCGGCGAGAGAACAATAGATTCCCTTCTGTCTCATCTCCTACATACCCACCCCCGCCACGAATACATTAAGCGATTGAAGGAAAATTCCTTGTTTCAAGTAAATCTATTTCAGATATTAGAAATTTGTTTTCTCAGTGTGGAGTAATTTTTACTGAAATTTTTTCTCCTCTTACTGTGTTCATGATTATATCGAATGTTCGAACCTCCAGTCTCCATTTTCACAATACGTATCATAATTTCTTAAAATCTCCTCAAATTCATCTCGTAAGACCGAATATGTTGCATTATACGAGTAACTCGATATGAATCACAACTGCAAAAAGACGGCAACGTAACTTAAAACATGGATTTTGAAAAAAAAAATGATAATCGCAAGTGGAATGAGACCTATTTTGTGATTCTCTCCAGCGGCTCGTGCTTGAGGTTTACTGGGGTGGTCACGGTTAGAATGATCGCACGTGGGGTCTGACGACAAAGACGAATAATATCGATAATATTCCCAACCGTCTTTCAAAGGTGGAATCCTTCTCGCGTGGATTGGCTCGGGGCACTCTGTCGCTGTACGATGAGATAGAAGTTTTTTCCTCGAGCTAGGGGTAACACGATAGTCGGCCGTATGTAAAACCATCTGGTGTAAAACGAGCTGCTGGCTCGCTCGAGTATTAAATCAGGTCCTGTGCCACTCTTTTTCCTTACACTTTCGTCGAGAATTGGAATCACCGATCACTTCCACGGATTTTACACCATTTGGATACATTTTTATGTGTGAACACATGAATAGGGAACTGGCGTGGAGCCCAGCGTTTCCTAATTTCCCTTTTCAGCCATTCTAGATAATCCATAGGTAGATGAACGGAAAGAATTATGAAGAAATATTGCTTTCACTGTTAGAAATTTCTTTAAATTTCAGTCACAGCGTCATCTGAATTATCGATGTTGTGGGTTGAATTCAATTTCAAATGAAAGCGTTCACTACGTTTCTCATTCGTCTTGAAAATTCAAGAAAATGGTGTTTTTCATGTTAAAGAATAATCGATTTTTCAATGAAAGCTTGAATTTCTAAACTCCTCGTGAAAATTCAACATCACATGCAATTCAATTTTCAATTGATTGAGAATTAAGAAGAATTCTTGCCTAAATTTTCGAAATTTTCAAGGTTTTTCAGTGCCGTATGGACCTGAAAATCGAGAATCACTAATTTTTAAGTTTTTATAAATTATTTAAAGAAAATGCTGGTAATTTTCAAAAATTACAATGTTTAGAATATTGCATCAATCATCTTCAAAAATTAGTCTTTCTAAGCAAAACTTGACACACGCATTTGTTTACAACGAAGCTATCGAGAATTTACCGGATCATTTTGAAGCTCTGGTGGCATCAACTGAAAACTTAAAGGCTGATAAAATGGAACATACGATTCTCATCGATCGTATGGATTTTTGCAATGAGAATGCTTATAAACAATTAATTGAAAAAGGGAATATCGAATTTGACAGAAAAAGGGGCATAATGAAAGGGCATCAACACCCCAGTCACTTGTGTGATAAAAATTTTCATTAAGTATAGCGGAAATTTTAATTCGGAATTTTCAACAGGGAGTACAGTTCAAAATCCCCCAAAATTATTGTATTCTTCAACTATGGTTCTGTCAAAAACTTCTGAAAAGGTCATACGCTGCACAATTACTAGATTTCAGGCATGATTTTCCGCAGAAATTTTTCCCCGAGCACAAATTTTTATTATCTCGTACTAATAAACTATAAATAGTCGCAATACAAAATTTTTCCCCGCGAATACTTGCAGCACGAGCCAATCGCTGTATTTCAAGTCTCTCGCATTAGTTAATGTCCTCGAAAATGACACTTCGTACAGCGACTAATGGGTAATTAAAGTCACCGAGGTTACATTTGCCACGGAATTTATTAAACGAAAAAGCAGGCGTGCCCCCGACAACTCCAGCGCGCTGCCCAAGGACGCGGGTATTTGCGCTTATATTGTCCAGATTTTATGGATATTGGGTTGTTAATGAAAAATTGCGAAACTTTCAGGAGCGATCGTCAAATGTACAATCGCCTCGTTCCAGCGGAATTAATAGGTTAACCTGACTTTCATTGCTGTTCCGCTGATCTCAGAGATATCGAATTTCGTTCACTTCTATTCGCTTCACTCAGGGAAATTAACTTCATAATCAGATTCTCCACGATGTAAAATTAATCATGAAGATTGATGTGTGAATTTTGATTTACAAGATGTTGTATAGTCGAACAATGGCAAATATAATTTTTTCAATTCCTATTTAAGAAATTAGAATTCCGACAGAATTAATTTTTTCAATAAATTGTTCTAGTTTTCAGTTTTTTGGAAATGCTACATCTGCAATTGCTCGAGTATAAAAACCCGTTGAATATATTTCCAATGTTTTTTATTATTTCAACTCATAATAATTAATTTCAATTGTTCTTCGAACATCGAAGTATATCATGCATTACTCTGATTTATCAAATCTATCTTACATAATTGATATAACATGTGCGCATAAAATTTATTACAAAAATTTTGGGTTTCAATGTTTTTTTGCTAATATTAGTGACTAAAAATGGCAACATTTATCATCGTAAATACGATGAGAGACACAATTCCCGTGAGGAAATAATGCTCCATTAATTCAAATACATTATCAATCTTGCCTTACAACTCTGAATAACTAATGCTCTACAGTTGAATGAAAAATAATTGAATAAGAAAAAGTTTTCATCACAAAATAAAGTACATTCAGTTGAATTCATAGGATCGTGCTCTTATCCTAAGATCAGAGGCGTGCAAAAACCAAAGTCGCACCGGCAAGATCAATATCGATCCCAGTATACATCGATCGATTCGCTTACATCGAGATTCTAGGTTCTTATCGATTATAAATCACTTAAATAACCGAGATTTTACTGAGATTTAAAGCCCACGCTCATGATTCATTCTCACGTTGTCAATTATCCTTCAATTCAACCAAGTCTATGAAATTTTCATTCTTCAAAAGTCTCATTAAGTAATTGTTCCTCATTAATTGAGATCAGATAAATAATTTAATCATTTTATGATAAATATTTGATTACTCAATATGTCAATTGAATCACCATCGATCGTCCATGGAGAAATATATCTACTTATTGTTATAGTATATAATACATTCATTCACCCTCCCCGGATAGTTTTCAAACGCTCACGGGTTCAAAGATCAACCTTGTAACAATATCAATGTTATCCCACCATTTACCAACGTAAAGCTGATATTATTAATCTCTCATCCACTGGTACACGATTTGCTCCATCGGTAAATTATTTTTGTGCTAGATTATGATTTTTATTGAATGTATTCAGGACTGCACACAAAGAGAAAACATAATTCTCAGTTTAAGAAACATTTTTTCTTGTTTGAGAACTTGACTCGATTAAGGGGTACCTTATCAATTACAAAATTACAAACTATGTTCAAATATTTTGTAAGATAAGACTAGCAAGAATTTCAAGAGTTAGATGGCATTTGATTGAGAGCAAGATGAGATAAATCTCTTCATCATAAAGTTTTTTGATAAGTACTTCTTTACTGTTGTCAAGAAACTCATGGTTCAAAAATTGACGTCGTCAGGAGATTTTGTCCTAGCCCCAAAGGTAAGGATAATTTGTTTATGACAATAAAGCCATTTTTAAACCACGTCTAGTTGAATTATATTCATTCAATAGCCTTTTAGTGGATTACTCTCAACCCCGAAATATTTTAATGCAAAGACCAGTTGACTTGGCTCGAGCAATTGCTTTCTTGTTGTAAACAAACTGACAAGTACAAATTCTCTTGATGAAACGTTTCATTTTTCACTGTAGGATATTTTCTTCTCGTCAATTTTCGAGCTATGAGTTTCTTGATACAAGTAAAGACGTACTGCTCAAAACAATTTGTTCTCAGTGTAGTAATTGTTGAATTTATTGACTTTTTTAGATTTTTAAAAAAGTTCTAGTAAATCATGGAATAATTTCATCTGAATTCCCATTATTTCAAATGAAAATTACAATACTGTCAACAAATTTTTACTTTTTTATTGTATTTTCTACAGCAAAAACACAATTACTAAAATTCGAGAGAGAATTCTAGAATCTCATAAAATTTCAAAGTTCACCTGATCATACCAGTAGATTAATAAATTCCCAGGGGAAATGCAAATTTCAAAATTTTTCGTGAAAATATCATGAATTTTCAATTGGCTATGAATAGTAAGAGCTCAATTTAACTCGACTCAATTGAAATTTACAATTTCCGTCAATTTCTTCATCAAATCGATTATCCAGCCGAAAAAATTACCTGTAACAGCAGTCCATCGAATGAAAAACTTGTCATTCAAATCTCGGAATTTTCCACTTCGTCAAGTCCTCAATAATGCGAACAGTATTCTTAATCTAACAATTTTTCTTTGCGATGAAGTCAGAACCACTCATGACAGAGACATCGGAAGATAATGAAAGACGAAAAAAAATGAAGACGTCTAAATTAACAGAACCTAATTAATGTCTCCTAATGTGATTCTGGGATAGCTGGTAGATAATGAAATTGTGGAGAGCGCCCTCAAGTGTCTTAAGAAAGCCCTGCCACTGACCTTTCTCGTAGTTGATCTGGCGCTCCTGTTGTCGTGCATTATCAGCAGCAACTTTGAGTAGGCCCTGAATATTCCTCAGTAATGTTTCAGTACTCGATACTGATGGATCCTGTCCACCCTGTGATACTGCAACCGCTGCTGAGGCAATCTGTGAATAATTCAGTGCCTGAGGGCTCTCCGAGCCGGGCGCCGGTAGTGGGAGATTCTCGGGTACATCCGACAGATCTGAAATCACAAAAATTGCCCGAAAAAACTCAATCATTGAGAACAGAATGATAAATTCCAATTGGAGGATTTATATCAACAGGTGCATATCGTGTTGAATTCACATTAATGAAAAATAAAGGTAATGTAATGGTGGGTAACATCGATGGAACCCGGGACATTAATAAATTCGGCGTTGGGTTTGAAAACCAGCTAACATCGTTTGAGCTACCCGAGAGTTTATGGTGGGTGCGTGTTAAAGAGTCGTAACCCCTCGAAACCCCATCTTGTTGCCCCCTTCGTTCTTGATTTAACGTTAACACTACAATCAAATTTCTTATTTACGATTTTAACGGTAATATGTTATCATTATAATTAACATAATTTCAGTGGAAACGTTGTTGTGACACTACATTTTACTCATGTATTCCCTATTTTCGTGGATGAAGATACTTGGATATCCTTAAGGTGGTTCGTGTGTAGATCACCGGGGGCTAAAACGGAAGGGGAGTCTTATTGTTCTCGAGCCCTGATTCAATCGCTGAGCACGAAATTTTCCAAATTTCAAGTAACTATTTAAGTGTGCATTTGAACATTTTTTGAATATTGATTTTATTCAGCAGATTGATTGATTTTTTTCTCACCACCTACGGGTGTCAAATGATTTTTATTGGGTGTTATTCTAATTATTGAAGTAATATTAAAATACGTCTCGAGTTGGTAAACCTGTCGAGTGTTTTCTCTCTCTCAGTTCCATGGTCCAACCCATACCTTTCCCATGATGCTCACTGATATTCCAATCACGCGCCTGCGCCTGAGGGCGTAATTGCCCCGAAACTCATAATTTTCCGAATCATTTGTTCAAATAACTTTCTTATGAAATCTGAAAGAAATCTGAAACTTATACGTGTTCTCAAGAAAGATTTAATTTATCACCCACTAGTTTTTCCTCAATAGCTCATTATTTTTTTGGAGGCCATGGAAATTTTCCTAATTGAGAGTGCGGTAACCTCGGAGGTTATAGCTGGAGGGATTACAAAAACATCCAAATTTCATAATTTTTTTGTCTTGAAACTGAGATCTGAAGAAAATGTGCAAAAATTCTCAATAATGCAGCGTACTTAGAAATTTCTCCCTTGAATTTTCCAATTTTTTTTCATTATTTTGACTTATCAACCGAAACACCTTAAATCGCACTCAATGCCATTCTAAAATTATCAGTTAACAGAGAATGCCACAATAATTTTTACTTTCATAAAAAAAAATTCTTCCAACTTAAAATAAAATTACATCTTCATGTATCAGATTCTATTGTGCCCATTTAATTTCCGGACATATCGAAATGCGGAAGAAATGCATTCGAGTTGCGAATTACAGAACATCTGAGTACTTCTCACCAAACTTTCCTTTGCAGGGGCAATTTGTAGTAGCCCCAAAAAAAAAATCCCGCTAAAAGTAAATACAATGTCTTATGGTTATTGCTGTAGGTGGTTAGTGCGAGTGGACAAGATGTCTGCGCGTGGGTTCCCTCTTCGTTTTGTCTTAGACCGTCCACTCAAGCTTGAAACCCTTTCAGCCCACACCGCGGTAAGTGAAAAAAGCAAACAAAACAAGGAGAAAGAAAAAAATCCCCAGAAAGAGAGAGAGAAGAATAAAAGATCGGCGAGGAGAAAACCGCCCTGTGCTTTATGGCCAATGATATGTGTATTTATTGTATCGTCTTTTAATTATCAGCGTGCGCACCTACAACGAAACGGCATTCGGTTACTTATTGCTGGAGGTACGTTATAGCACTAAGAGTCCTCTCCATTCGCTCTTTTCGAATTTAATGCTCGCGCCTTTCTAACAAAACGATCCCGGACAAATGCCGGCATATTCTTTTGATACACCTCGTGTGGCTTTTACAACACTTATGTTCCCTCCCAATACTTCTCGTTATCTGCCCACCGCTGACGCAAAAACCATTACAATTATCGTGGAGGAAAACACCACATCGTTACTCTCGGACCAACAAATACAGCTCAACGCAATGTTCCGGTTATTTTCAGGGCTCGAGAAATGTTTGTATTGTGTTGGCATCAGGGGGGCGAAGTTACGACGCGTTTTAAGGGGTAACAGACGGCCACCGTTTCCTCGAAATTTTCCGACATATTTCTTGCTCAATGGCCGATATTTTTTTAATCCAAAGAATATTGATCTTCATCATCGCCTCCTGGAGTTAATGCACACTGAGAATAAAAAAGTTTTTTGATAAGTATGTATTCACTCGTACGCTGTGAGAAATTTTTTGAAATTTCATGGAAGATAGTAAATCTCATGAGAGTGACATTATGAGTTTTCAGTAGAATTTTAAATTTTTCTGTCAATTTTTCTGTTTTTTCTGAATTTTCACAGAATAATTGAACTGAAAAATCAAGTATTTTATTGATTTCCAGATTATTTGAACAGAAGATCAATGGAATATTTGATTTTCCAATAAGATGTCCTGAAATTTCAATGGAATTTGATAAAAATCTCCGGAATTTGGCACGGAAAATTCAGACGAAAATTTTTAACAATGTATCAAATATTAATGTTCCAATGAAATTTTAATCAGTTTCGTAACTGAAAATCTCAATTTTATGCGAAAATCAATGGAAACCATAAATTTCAGTTCAATTATTTCATAAAAATTAATACAAATTGGAAAAATTCAGATCAATATCCTTGAACTTTTATAATCAATTGAAAATTCATCGTAATTTGGTACTGAACATTCATGTTTTGATTGAAAATTGAAATAAATTTCAAAACAATCTTCATTCTTCCCCTTAAACTAAATTTAATGTCGCTTTCTTGCAAATAAATCCGAAACTGTCAATTATTCATCTCCAATTGATTCTTAATCACTAACTCAGTAGCAAAACGGTAAAACGGTTCAAGTCGATTTTCACTTTTGGTCAGATTTAAGTGAATATCTCGAAACCTACGGCAGATGAAAAAATTTTCGTTATAACCTTTTCGCTAGAGCGAATTGAGAAGTACAAAAAGGTAATAACAAAAATTTCGGTATCTCCCTTAGATTCGGAGATATTTCTCGAAAACTCAGCCCCGAGTCGAGGATTTGGTTCTGATTGGACGTACACAGGTCTTTCAAGATCTCTCCAGACCTAGATGGACCTGGTAAGTCCTAATCAGTTCTGCGACGTACTTTTCCAGAGACCTTTCGAATCCTCAGTTCTTTTCGGTCCTGAGAAGTCCTCCTCGATGCTACCGAGAACGCGTGATTTTACGAGCGGGTGAAGGGGAAGGCATGTATGCGGAGGGTTGAAATTTGTAGCCAACGAGGAGACAGGGTTGCAGAATATATTTTA